GCGGCCCTGACCGGTGCGCCGCCTGCCGGGAGGCTCCGCACCGCTCCGGTCGTCTGGGAGGGAAGGACGCGGACTGCCCTGCCGGGTTTGCTGCAGGGCGCTCCCGTCCTCCGTGCCGCTGCCCCCTACAGGGCGGCCGGAGCGGCACAACAAACAAACAAACAAACAAAAAGCGGCCGTGCCGCCTTAGGATTGGGCGGAATGCCGCCTCGAACAATTTGCCGCCCCAAGCACCAGCTTGCTCGGCTGGTGCCTGGAGCCGGCCCTGGGCGCATAGCATATGCAGCTCCCATTGAGTCACCACCTTCCTGGATTTAGCCCCTGCAATTTGAAATTCTTTTTCTAGAGATTTTTATTTTTAGCAGTCAGAATCATAGAAATGTAGGACTGGAAGGACCTCAATTGATCATCTAGTCAGTCCCCTGCACTGGGGCAGGATTAAGTATTAACTAGACCATCCCTGACAGGTGTTTGTCTAACCTGTTCTTAAAAACCACTAATGAGACCGTGCTGAGTGGGAAAAAATACTTCACGTGTCTGGCTTACAATACTCCTTCTAATACATCCCAGAATGATGTTTGCTGCTTTTTTTTTTTTTTTGCAATAGTATTACATTATGGACTCATATTTAGTTTGTGATCCACTATAACCCCCAGATCTTTGTCTGCAATACTCCTTCTTAGGCATTCATTTCCTACTTTGTGTTTGTGCAATTGATTATTCCTTCCTAAGTGTAATACTTTGCATTTGTCCTTAATGAATTTCATCCTGTTTATTTCAGACCATTTCTCCAGTTTGTCAAGATCATTTTGAATTCTAATCCTGTCCTCCAAAGTGCTTGCAACCCCTCCCAGCTTGGTATCATCCACATACTTTATATGTATACTCCCTATGCCTTTATCCAAATCATTTATGAAGATATTGAATAGGACCGGACTCGGGACAGATCCCTGCAGGACCCCACTTAACATGCCCTTCCAGCTTGACAGTGAACCATTGATAAGTATTCTCTGAGGACAATTTTCCAACCGGTTGTGCACCCACCTTATAGCAGGTTCGACTAGGCTATATTTCCCTAGTTTGTTTATGAGAAGGTTATATGAGACTGTATCCAAAGCTGTACTGAAGTCAAGATATATCACATCTACTGCTTTCCCCCTATCCACAAGGCTTGTTACCCTGTCAGAGAAGGATATTAGGTTGTTTGGCATGATTTGTTCTTGACAAATCCATGTTGACTGTTACTTATCACCTTAGAATTAAAAGAATAATTAAGTCGGTTGAACAATCCATAACATTGCCATTGGGAGAATGGGTATCAACTGCAGTTGTGGTCCCTTCTGCGAGATAACTGTCCCCATTTACAAATGAAATTACTTTGCTCCTGAAAATCAATGTGGTAATCTCACCCTTACCCAGCCTTGTAATCCTCACAAAAGTAGCACCTTTGTTCAGATGAGGCCCAGGAGTGGAACAGCAGAGATCTTGTGGGTCAGAATCAAGCTGAAGAGCTGGCTACAGATGTTTGTGCAGCACCTGCCCTCACTAGATGTCACTGAGACTATGTTGTTTGTCCCTTCCTTTCATGAGCCCTCCCTTCACTATGGTCTTGTCTTAACTGCTAAAAAAAAAAAAAGTGTTTAACCTGGAAGTAACTTATATGCATGAGCTATCCTAAGGCAAAAACACAGTGAAGAATAGGCACTTCAGTTTTACCATGAGATAAACAGCCCTATACTGCTTCCAGGGGTTGACCTTGGTGATCTTGCATCACAGTAAAATGAAAGTACCTGGTCTTCATTGTGTTTTTACCTCAGGATAGTCACCTGTGTTAGTTATCAGGAGGTAAAAAATTCTCCTTTTGTAGCAATTGAAGACAAGGCCTATGAGTCAAAGGCAAACCATTCTAATATGCTAATTCATAGTGGAGGAGAAGATTAGCAGCCCCACACAGTGATGTCAAATGATGTGTTTTTTGCAGTGCAGACTAATCTAGCAGCTGGAAGCCACTCCATGTACCGAACTCTGTTTAGTCTGAGCACGAACTTCAGCCTTGGCAGTAAAGGAAGAAAAACCTCCATCTTTTACTAATCTCAGTATGTGGTTTGTTCACAAGAAACTAGCTCTGTATATTTAACTGTCTTCACATTTTGCAGAATAAAAGAAGCATCAACTCAGCCCAGAAGAGAATACCAGCCAAAACCCCGCATGAGTCTGGATTTTTCCAGTGGTGAGAATACCCAGTACAATGGAGGGATATCCCAGACCAGCACCCCTAAACCAACAGGTAAAAGGAATGAGGAAGGAGAATGTAGTCTTGTCTGTCTGAATCTTTTGCTATGATGCAAAAGCATGAAGCTCACTTTTCAACTTAGCTTTCCCACAACCAGAATATAACCAGCCACTGCAAAGGGAGGAGGGGTAAAGGTATAAGGGAGAAGAGGGAAGAGCTATTGAAACTAAATTATCAATTGCACTGAAGGAATTAGTCTAATGGCCAACTCGGGCACAGTTCTCCTTATAAAGGACTCGGATACTATGGTGTTGGGTATATTACAAACACCTAGATAGGTAGATGATCCATTTTATTAATTCTGTGGCTTAGTGGTCAGTGATTCCATCCACCACAGCATCCTAAAGCAATGGTGTCACATTAAACTTGCCTTAAAATTTAGATCTTGTAAAAATGGATACTTAGAAAACCTAGAGGTCAATTGAAACATTTCCATGAAAATGTATCGCGCCCTCACCCCCAAAGCACTCCTATGCAGTCGTTGAAACTCAGATATCGCAGCTGATCTTGAAAGTGAAAATGACAATGAACAAAACTGAAACTGATGGAACTGATGTTCATTGTTCAGATGAGAGAAATGCAAATTAAACAAAGTGCATAAACAGTGACAAATGTCTTATTAGTAACTTAAGTAATCACTTTGTTTAAAATGTTCATATGTTAAGATGACATCACTTTGCTCCTTGCAGGAATGCTTTGTCATCACATGTCATTGTGATAAGGGGTGTTCTCTCTTCCTGGACCCAATCTTGCAAGGTCCTGAGTACCCTCTACTCCCATTGATACCAGTGGGAATTGTAGGCACACACCACCTTGCAGGATTGGATGTTTTCTCCCCCTAGTTCTGTAATCAGGATTTCCTTCCTCCCCATCAGATTTTGATGTGCATGTTTGACATCCTCAATGTGGATTCACAACACCAGCTCCATTTTGTATTCTGTAATAGCAGCTAGAAGCTGCCCTGTAATTTCAAACATCCCTCCTCACCCCCACAGTGCCAGAGGGAATGAGATGCAGATTCCTAGTGCAGCCTGTGACCTATTAATGCTCTCCCAGTCACAACACCAGCTGTTTTTTCTTCATTTTTTTTGTGCTGGGACTAGGACTGATGTGATGTAAGTTTAACTCTTTTCTGCTACAGAAACAAAAATACAAAGAGAGTTAAATGCAGATGATGCTGTATCTTCCACAAACTATATTGTCCTCTCATGGTAGATACTGGCATTTGACTTTGCAAAGAATAGATTGCCAAGGTTCCTCAGTAGGAGCCCCATCATGTGAAGTGCTGAGCACCTCCAGAGAGTTTAATGCTTTGAAAGTTGTAGAATAAGAGGCTCTTCAGCAACCACTGAGAATGGGAGAGAATTGGAAAAAAAGAGTCTCAAAGACTTAGGCCTTGTCTATGTTTAAAAGTTTTGCCAATATAGCTGTACAGGTGTACCTATACTGCCATCCCTCCTAGTGTAGATACAGTTATACCAGCAAAAAAAAAAAAAGTGCTATTGTTTGTATTGTTTATGCTAGTTCCCTCAGTGACATGTCTACACTAGAAAATGCTCTACTGGTATAGGAATACCAGTTCTTATTAGTGTATGCGCAACATGCCTCAGTGACCAGGATTCATCACGAAATTTGGTCTGCTGTTTGGATCATTAGCTTCCCCAGCTTGGGCCGGATGCTGACGGTGAGTGTGACATGAACGCTTATCCGTGCCCGCCAGGAACACCAGTGTACCAGCAATGTGCTCCTAGTGTGGACATATCTACTCTGGCAAAGCTGACCTTTGTACCTGTATAGTAATCCCAACCACCTCCTCCCCCAATGCTCTGAGTGAAACAAGCTATTAAAAGTGAAGTTTTGCCAGTATAACTGTGTCTACACTAGGGGCTTCTGCTGCAATAACTATGTTGGCTGGGGATCACACCTCTTCATGCTCCTGACCAACATAGCTGTGCTGTCAGAAGTGTGTAGTGCAGACATGGTCTGAACTATATCAAGAAGAGTACTTTTATGTCAGTATAACTGCATCTACAATAGGACTTTTGCTTTGTCATGAAAAAAATCACACCCCAAACTGACAGAATTGTTGGCAACACTTAAGTGTAGACCAGGCTTAGCTTGTTGTTTTCAGGGTTCTAGAACACCCGGTTAACAAAGCTTCAGATATGGGAATTTGAGAAGTACCTGTACCATAAATTGATGTCTGCTTTGAGGGCATTTTATTAGTTCTAGTTTTGGATGATGTCAAGGAGCCGTAAACACAATGGGAATTGTAATAGAAGTGGTGAAACATGCTAATGATAATAACCAGGAGAGTCTGTAGTTACCAAGATTTCTAAGCACTGTTTCATTGTGTCCCTTCTTTTTAGGTATTGCAATGGATCAGCCATGCTGCCGAGCTCTGTATGACTTTGACCCTGAAAATGAAGGGGAGTTGGGCTTTAAAGAGGGTGATGTCATTACCCTCACTAACCAGATTGATGAGAACTGGTATGAAGGGATGCTTCATGGCCAGTCAGGCTTCTTCCCTATCAACTATGTGGATATTCTGGTACCTTTGCCCCATTAGGATGGCTGACTCATCACCTCTTGACCCAGATAGTCATGTTGATACCACTGCTTTCAAACTGCTGCTTACTACACCTCACAAGTGCAAACTGCAGTGGTTAAAGTCATCAAGTCCCACTGAGCATCTTTGGTTTACATGTTGTCATGCGGCATAGTGGTGATGCGTGGTATCTTCTGAGGCAGCACAACATGGCATGCGGATTTGTACGCTATGGTGTGCCAGCCCGTGGTAACCAGAGCCATTGTTTGTACGGTATTAGGGAAACAATGGCACGCAAAAGTGATGACTCACAGTGAAGTAGAGGAAATCAAGTGTGTTGTTGGGAAGATAATGCCTATCACCACTGTATTACTTTTAAGTCTTAGTTCTTGATCAAAAGAGGGAAAAAGTTCTTGACATTCCATCTTTCCCTTCAGAAAGATACGGCTCATGCAGGTCTAATATTGACTCACCAGCATTGTGTCTTCTGATCAAAATGACTTAGAATCAGTTACTGTTCTCAGAGAGCCAGTATAATGTTGACCCTACAGTTTCTCTGAAAGTGAGCTACCATTGTACTGTATGTGCTGCCTACTTGCAACTGGTTTTATATTCTGGATTGTTAACAACAGGCCTGTTCAATCTTCAGGTAAATTGCAAACTATAAAAAGAAAAGGCTAGTAATAAAGAGCTTGGGTTACAAGCCAGATGTGTCTGCTCTTCAGAAACTTTGAACACAATAAACAAAATGCCAGCAAGAGGGCAGGGTGGGGAATAAAACTATCATAAGTGTTATGTATTTCATGTAAAGTTTTGGCACAAAATCACATCATTCAAGCACTGGGAGCCTTCAGTACACTCATACACTGGGGAAAAAACCCAACAACCAACAGTCCTTTTTATTTTTGTCTACTTTGTGTTCTTTGAACATCATTTGTGCATATTCTGCCCTCAATGAGGACTAAATAAAATTGATTTTTGTGCTGAGCAATTAAAGACTTGTGGCCGTATACGCAAAAATGTTTCCCATAAGTTTAGTTCTTTCTTTAATCTTCCCCACCCTTCCTGCATTTTGTGTGTACAGTGCTGTGCCTAGCTTATCAGCATTCTTTTTGTAACAGTCGTAAAAGTTCTATTAGTTTAGTTATCCAGAGTTCTATTTATCTAAATTGTACAGACTCTTTCAGAGGTTGAATGTGCTGCTTTGGCTGTGCCACTTCAGTTCTGGATCCCATGAAATGAAGGCAATCCTACTGCTTAATGTATAAACTATATTGTGGAAAGTATTGATATTTCAAATAAATAATGCTGACAGAATAACCAGAATGATGCTGTGAATTATTAAGTGCCAGTTCATCTAGTGTCTTATTTCAGAAAGCATATTTCATTAAATGTGAGCGGCAATCCTAAAGCATAAAATTCCCTTTATTTTAGTATTATCAGACCCAGCACTGCTTCTATCAAAGTCAATGGGAGTGTGGTCAGAGCAGGGTCAGAGCCATAACTACGTGGGTCACTCTAAACAGGATAAGACAAGCATTCGGCGTATTAATTGAATGTTATGCTCAGTGTGATGCATCAGCTTGCAATCTTCTGGTGACACAATACCTATCATTAAAGAGCGCTGTGGATCGCAACTCACCTACTAAGACTAAAGACAAGGTGAGTTCTGATTTTTTTTTCGGTATTGTGTTTCACAGTCTTATTTTTAATAGTCTTTATTTTTATTTAGTTGCTTGCTGCGTATATAGCTGTATGCACATGTAAGGGTGTGTGGACTCACCCCTGCGGCGCCTCCTGCTGATTGTCTCAGGGAATTAGCTCTTTCTAGCGCAGAGCGCCCTCTGCAGGCCGGTGTCCTGCCGCCGCTGGCCCCAGTGTCCCTCCCAGGACCCCAGTGCCCTTTTACCTGGGGTGCTGCCCCTCCAGGCAATACCCCACAGATCTGGGTCTCCCCTCCCCGGGGACCCCCCACGCTCTATCCCCACCTTGCCTCAGCCTGTGGGCTACTGCCAGTCACCATCTAGCCCCCTTTCACTGGGGCCGTCTGCAGTCTGTATAAGCCAGTCATCATAGGCAAGGGAGGTTTTGACCTGCTGCCTTTCCCTGCAACCCAGTACCTCCAGGGGCCTTGTACAAGGCCCTGAAGCCTGGAGAGTTGCTGGCTCAGAGCTCCCCAGCTCCTCTGGCCTTTTCCCCAGCCCTGCTTCACTCCAGTACCCTTTAGCACACAGGCAGCTAGGTCCATCTCCCTCCTCAGCTAGAGGGAGACTGCTTGCTCTTGGCCCACTGCCCTCTTATAAGGGCCAGCTGGGCCCTTATTAAGCCAGCTACAGCTGTGTCTGCTTTCCCAATCAGCCCAGCTTTCAGAGCTGCAGCCCTCTCCAGGGATGCTTTTACCACTGCAGCCCTCCCCAGGGCTGCTTGTACCCTTCCAAGGCCGGAGCGGTGTGATCACCCCACTACAGCACACTAACAAGAATCTTACAGGCTAACGACTCAATCCTCCTCTCAATGCAGCTCTCATTCATTTTCCTAGGAATAGTTTAAGAGTGTAAATAAGGGCAAAATTAGTTTCTAAATATGTTCCCATTCATAATTGTACCCTCTGTTTCATGGCTTCTACATCATCTGGGCTACCAGATCAGCTGCCCATAAACAGAATAATGCAGACCAAATTGGTGTCTCATAGACTCTAAGGTCAGAAGGGACCATTATGATCATCTAGTCTGACCTCCTGCACAACACAGGCCACAGAATCTCATACACCCACTCCTGTAACAAACCCCTAACCTATGCCTGAGTTACTGAAGTCCTCAAATCGTGGTTTAAAGACCTCAAGGTGCAGAGAATCCTCCAGCAAGTGACCCGTGCCCCACGCTGCAAAGGAAGGCGAAAAACCTCCAGGACCACTGCCAATCTGCTCTGGAGGAAAATTCCTTCCCGACCCCAAATATGGCGATCAGTTAAACCCTGAGCATGTGGGCAAGACTCACCAGCCAGCACCCAGGATAGAATTCTCTGTAGTAACTCAGATCCCACCCCATCTAACATTCCATCACAGACCATTGGGCATATTTACCTGCTAATAATCAAAATTAATTGCCAAAATTAGGCTATCCCATCATACCATCCCTCCATAAACTTATCAAGCTTAGTCTTGAAGCGAGATATGTCTTTTGCCCCCACTACTCCCCTTGGAAGGCTGTTCCAGAACTTCACTCCTCTACTGGTTAGAAACCTTCGTCTAATTTCAAGTCTAAACTTCCTAATGTCCAGTTTATATCCATTTGTTCTTGTGTCCACATTGGTACTAAGCTTAAATAATTCCTCTCCCTCCCTGATATTTACCCCTCTGATATATTTATAAAGAGCAATCATATCTCCCCTCAGCCTTCTTTTGATTAGGCTAAACAAGCCAAGCTCTTTGAGTCTCCTTTCATAAGATAGGTTTTCCATTCCTGAGATCATCCTAGTAGCCCTTCTCTGTACCTGTTCCAGTTTGAATTCATCCTTCTTAAACATGGGGGACCAAAACTGCACACGATATTCCAGATGAGGTCTCACCAGTGCCTTGTATAACAGTACTAACACCTCCTTATCTTTACTGGAAATACCTCGCCTGATGCATCCCAAGACCGCATTAGCTTTTTTAACTACCATATCACATTGGCGGCTCATAGTCATCCTGTGATCAACCAATACTCCAAGGTCCTTCTCCTCCTCTGTTACTTCCAACTGATGTGTCCCCAATTTATAACCAAAATTCTTGTTATTAATCCCTAAATGCATGACCTTGCACTTTTCACTATTAAATTTCATCCTATTACTATTACTCCAATTTACAAGGTCATCCAGATCTTCCTGTATGATATCCCGGTCCTTCTCTGTATTAGCAATACCTCCCAGCTTTGTGTCATCCGCAAACTTTATTAGCACATTCCCACTTTTTGTGCCAAGGTCAGTAATAAAAAGATTAAATAAGATTGGTCCCAAAACCGATCCCTGAGGAACTCCACTAGTAACCTCCTTCCAGCCTGACAGTTCACCTTTCAGTATGACCCATTGTAGTCTCCCCTTTAACCAGTTCCTTATCCACCTTTCAATTTTCATATTCGATCCCCATCTTTTCCAATTTAGCTAATAATTCCCCATGTGGAACCGTATCAAATGCCTTACTGAAATCGAGGTAAATTAGATCCACTGCATTTCCTTTGTCTAAAAAATCTGTTACCTTCTCAAAGATGGAGATCAGGTTGGTTTGGCACGATCTACCTTTTGTAAAACCATGTTGTATTTTGTCCCAACTACCATTGATTTCAATGTCCTTAACTACTTTCTCCTTCAAAATTTTTTCCAAGACCTTGCATACTACAGATGTCAAACTAACAGGCCTATAGTTACTCGGATCACTTTTTTTCCTTTCTTAAAAATAGGAACTATGTTAGCAATTCTCCAGTCATATGGTACAACCCCTGACTTTACTGATTCATTAAAAATTCTTGCTCATGGGCTTGCAATTTCATGTGCCAGTTCCTTTAATATTCTTGGATGAAGATTATCTGGGCCCCCCGATTTAGTCCCATTAAACTGTTTGAGTTTGGCTTCTACCTCGGATGTGGTAATATCTACCTCCGTATCCTCATTCCCATTTGTCATCCTACCATTATCCCTAAGCTCCTCATTAGCCTCATTAAAGACTGAGGCAAAGTATTTGTTTAGATATTGGGCCATGCCTAGATTATCCTTAACCTCCACTCCATCTTCAGTGTTTAGCAGTCCCACTTCCTCTTTCTTTGTTTTCTTCTTATTTATATGGCTATAGAACCTTTTACTATTGGTTTTAATTCCCTTTGCAAGGTCCAACTCTACATGGCTTTTGGCCTTTCTCACTTTATCCGTACATGTTTTGACCTCAATAAGGTAGCTTTCCTTGGTAAACTCTCCCATCTTCCACTCCTTGTAGGCTTTCTGCTTTTTCTTAATCACCTCTCTGAGATGCTTACTTATCCAGCTTGGTC